AGAATTTTAATTGGTAATATACAATCATTACCAAACTTGAATTCAAAAAGTTTTGGAACTATCTCAGAACAGATAAAAGTTAACAAATTTTGGGACCATATTAATAATTATAATAATAATATTAATTTTTATATTGGTTTAATAAAGGAATTATAACATAGATCAATTAATTAAAAAATAAAAAACTTTAATTTTTACTTTCTTTTATTTTTTTTTTTGCTTTGATGTTCATTTAAATAAATTTTTTTTTAAATATTTTATTTTTTTTTTTTTTTTTTTTTTTACAAAATGTGTTTATTAACAAAACTAATTTTTTAATTTTAAAAATATAAATATTAATATTTATTTTTATTATTATTATTATTTTTTATAATCTATTTCATCAATGAATCCAGTTAACGGTGCTTCATATAAATCAATGTTAAGAGCTGTATATTGAAGATCTGTATACGATCCATGATATTTTCATTGCCAAATAGACTCCAGTCATACATATAAAATATTAACCAATTCTTTTTTCATACTTGATGTTGCCTTTATCGAAAACTAATGATCCTGCCAAAATATCTTGATTGGACGTATAGAGCTACTTGTAATAAACCCATAATATAAAAATAGATAAGTATTGAAAATGCCAAAATGGTAGAGCTAAAACGATCTTTATTGGAACCTGATAAAGGGACATTAAATTCAAGTGAATAGTTGGAGTTGGTATTTTATCTTTCATTTAATTCAAATAACTAAAAGGAACTTCATATGTACATAAATGAAACGAAAAAAAATAAACAAAAAGTTATAACAATTTTATTTTAATATTTTAAAAGGGTTTTTTTTTTTTTTCTTTTTTTTTTTTTTAATTTTTTTATTTTTTTCATTTTTATTACAAAAAATTAATAAAAAAAAAAAAAAAAAAAATTAAAAGGGGATTTTTTTTTTTTGGGGATTTTTTTTAAAAAAATTTTTTTCTTTTTATAAACCAAAAGTTTTTCCAAAAAAAAATTTTGGTTTAATTTTTTTTTTTAAAAAAAAAAAAAAAAAGGCTTTTTTAAAAACCCATTTTTAAAATTTTTTTTTAAAAATTTTTTTTTTTTTTTTTTTTAAATTTTTAAATTTTTTTTAAATTTTTTTTATTTTTTTTATTTTTATTTTTTTTATTTTTTATTATTTTTATTTTTTTCAAAACACAACAAACAAAAACATTTTAATAATGTAAAATATAGAACGTCCAATAAATAATAATAATTTTAACATTAGTGAAATATGTTTAAAACCTTTCGAGAACAAGTAAGTAAATTAATACATTATTTTAAAACAACAACAACAAACCAATATACATATAGAAATTGGCATATAGAAAATAGACGCAGAATCACTAACATAAACTAAATTGACTTTATTAATTAATATTCAAAAAAGCAGATTTAACAATTAAAACCATTCAATACCCCAACAGGATCAGTTGTCGTCGATATTATGAATGAAAGGATTTTGATCAATAATATTAAGATTTAGCCAATGTTTACCAAATGCACATCGAACCTATTAAAACAGATTTTATACTATTTACAAGTAATAATAATAAATACCAATCCAATCACGAACTATTGCTCAATAATAATAATAATAATAATAATTTTAAAATTAATATCAATAACAATCATAAAAAGTCACAAAGTCGCAGAAACTCAAATTCTTTCAATCTCTGGTTAATCAGCTAAAACAAAATTCAAATCAATTGCAAGTTCATGTAAAAATTCAAAAGCGTTAATGGATGTACCGTTTAGCTTTTATAGACGCTAGTGCACAGTTATCATGTATGAAAAAAACATTGGCAAAAAAAAGATAAAACTTAGATCCAACTAAAGACTAATGAAGATATTCAATCTTATCAACTATTTATATGAATCTCAATACATTTGCTTTGGCCCAAGCAACAATGATAGGACACAAATAGTTTAGATAAGGAAAAGGGTAAACTTCAACTTTCGTAAATATTGTTCAAATAGTGAACAGTCCAATGGTTTTAGCTTATCAAATATATTTAAAATATGACCCCCAAAGAATTTAGTATCTGATAGAGGTTCAAAGTTCATAAATGAAGTCGTCGTTTCAATAAACAAATTCTTTAAAATAACTCCAACTTTCGCTTGCCATACTTAAACATATGTTTTAACAGAAAAGTTTAAATCAACTTAATTCACAAGCCTAGATCTTATTGTGAGAGAGACAATACAAATTATCCACAACAAATTGGTATTGCTTTATCCTCATATAGTATTATGCTTCATCCTTCTACTGGCATCTCCCACCATTTTTTCAACTTTATAAATGCAAACTTATAATCAGATTTGCCAAGTATTTGAACTGCTCAAGTATATAGATGTTATTTATTCATTGTAGAAATGTAAATTAAAACCTCTGCAGATTGCAACTTATTCTCATATCTTTAATTAAATCAAAATATACAGGATAAAGAATAAATCAAGCTAACCACCACAATTTAATAATGTTGATGGTCTTAATATCTAAAAGTGAATATTAGAATATATCCTACCCGAAATCTTTTCAGTATTAGTTTCTGAAGCATCATCAAAACAGGATTTTAGCAATCAACCAAATAATTCAAAAAACTAATCAAATATATATTTAAATATCGAATTAAATAAATTTAATAATAGAGCACCATATTTAAATATTCCAATTAGTCATCTATATAAAAAAATAATAGTATTAACTCAATAAATCAATAATCAGTCCTCAGTTATTAGAAGCCTTTAAGAAAGCTAATATTAAAACATTTTATAATAATTAAAAATCAATTTAGTGCCAAACCAAAGGCAGTCCTCATTAAGAAATAACAGTCACACCCAAACATCACCAAATTCGACCTAATACAATTAATAAAACGCCTCACATTTTTCAGGACCATCACTGCTGCGGGTGCTGCCGCGGGTGGTGAAGGTTGCACAGGTGGCACAAGTGGTACAGGTGACACATCAACAAGTGGATCAACCAGCATATCAACAGGTATAATAGCAGGTGACTCTTCAGACTTAAAAGACTCTTCAGATGCATTAGAGGACTCTTCAAGAGGTTCATCAGATAGTAGTTCATCAAATAGCAAATCATCATTAGCTAGCGGTTCATCAAATAGCAGTTCATCAGATAGTAGTTCATCAGATAGTAGCTCATCAGATAGTAGCTCATCATCAGCTAGCAGTTCATAGCCATTATATTTATAAACCATCATACACCGAATGTACCATAATAATATTAGAAACATATAATAATAGTAATGATAAATTTTTTTTAAAAATGGAAAAATAATATATATTAAGTGAAATACAAGGACACATCAGTTAAGGTATATAATTACAAATGGAATGTCAGTTATACAATTTCATTTGATTCTTTGGGAAGTGATAGTTACACAAAAGTTTTGCATTACCTTCTGTCTATCAGTTAAGAGTTGCTGAATAAAAAAGTAAGTTTATACACATATTTAAATGATACCAAACCTATTTATTTACAAAATTAAATTAAATTTATTAATTTTTCATTTTATTTTTAGATATCGTTTTTATTGGACCATTAGTTTCAGATTTAAAGATATTGAAATCAAATAATAAAAATCAAATATTGTGTGTATTAGAAATTAGAGATAGTTCAAATGGTTTTAAACAATGATATTTTTTAGTAAGTGGTAATAACATTTAGACTATTTGGTTATTGTTATAAAGTAAACATATGTATTAACTATTTAAATTATAAATTATAATACAGACAGATGAATATATTAATAAAATCTAGAGATATTAAGCTTTTTTTAGGTACTAATAGAGATATTCAGCTTTAATTAGTTTACTATAGGGAATAAAATTTAGCTAAGTTTGACAAAAAAAAAAAAAATTTCTAAGTTTCCCCCACTCCCACACCCACCCACTTGACTAATTTTTTCATTTTAAAAACTTAGAAACTTAAAAAAAAAAAAAAAAAACTTAGAATTACATTATTTTTTGTATGAAAAAAATTTAAAATTCTTGTACAATTTTATTTAATCATACCATTTTTGAAATATTTGAATAATTATAAATGACAGAGTTTTCGACAATATCTACTCTTGAAATGTTTGCCCATTCCCTTATTAACACACATTGTTCTATTCTTTCCCAACCCAAATTTGATCTGTTGTCTACATGTAACCAACAACTTAGCACCCGAAAATGTTCTTTCAATTTCAACGGACGAAGAAGCAACTGAAAGTACATTTCTTACAATTGAATATTATGTTGGATATTCAATACTATTTTCTTTCTAATATTTTATTGTATCATTTCTATGATCTAAACTTTCTTCTACACATAGTCAAGCTGTTTTGGGTTTTTTGAAATTACTTTAGTGCA